AGTGAGGGCCAGTTCATGGTGTGGTGGTTCGAGTTACTTAGCTCCCATAGAAAGAAAGGAACGGAGAAGCAACTTCTTCAACGTTGTTTGTTTGTTTCTTCATTATACCATTAATCTCCATAAACGAGGCATGTTTTTAGTTAGAGACTGTCTAGGAAAAAAGTGCATATGCTAACCCAGATGGGTGAAAGGAACAGTTTCATTGCACTGACTTCGAAACGGCCAGTTTCACGTTCTCACCAAAGACATCATGCCTGGACTTTTAGGACAATGATTGGAACGCAGACTTGAGCAAATGCGCAAAACGAGCAGCGTAACCTTAGAATTATTATTTTGTATTCTACTCACCAGTGCAGAAATGGTTGAGATTCGTTTGCAGAGGAAATTCTGACTGGCAATCCTTTGGGGGGAAACTAGGAATTTTAATATACAAAAGAAATAAGAAAGCCCACCGCCCTGCCTAGGTTTGAACCTGCGAAGCTTTCTGTGTGCAGGAGTTGAAGTTTGTGAAGGATCCACCCCCTGCCCCCCGCATTTGCTCCTCATTCTCCAGGAATCGCAGCTACCTGGACTCTTCTGCTAATGATTCCTGGGGGTCCGTGCCAGGGGTCAGAAGGGCAAGTGTTTCATTTGAAGCTTCATTTGGTTAGCAATCTCTTCTCTCCTCTGAGCCCACCCAGCTCAGGGCTGTGGGTACTCAGGCAAAACTTGTCCTCTCTGGCATTTGGCAGAGGAGGTGAGGCAGGGACGAATCATTAACCAAATGTGGATGTTGCTTTGCTGGGAACGTGCACAGAGGGGCATCTGAGATGAACACGTATTTAAACGTAAATCTAGGAATGAGTAGCCGTAGAATTTATTCTGCAACTCTGAGCACTATGGTGCGTCTGATTCCGGTGGAGATGGTTGTCAGCGTGGCTAAGGGTTGAGTAGGACGCAATTCTTCTTTCGGCTACGTGAAGGGAAAATCCAAAAAACGAGATCCCTAGACTCCTGGTGGAAAACGATATTCTCATTCAGGTGTATCCCAGCAGATGAGCAGTGGGAAATGTTCCAGGATGTTCATTGCCATGTTGTTGGTTAGAGCAAAACCACTGGAAACAACCCAACAGTCTAAAAATAGAGAACTAGTTGAGAGAACAGTACAGCTTAGAATGCAATGCTGTTGAAGTACTAGAAAGAATGAGAAAAAAAAAAACAGAAATCGAAGGTGCATAGCATCACGTTCTTTGTCGAAGATGACGACTACGGTAACAGCCTTGACCTGATACTCACTCACTGCGTGCACGCTTTGCAAAAACGTACCGTGTCCCACAAAGACATACAGGTCCTGTCAATAAGAAATAAGAAAATAAAAGTTTTAGAAAAGGAAGGAAAGCATGAGCTTCTGACAGCCACAGAGAGATACCCGTGCTACGTAGCTGAGAGGCAGAATCTACACGGCTTTTATGACATGCCAGTGGGGGAAGAGACGGCGTGCATCTGCACATGGATGTGTGTGAACTATCGCATGCGCCAGGGAACGTCTTGAAGCACGCATACCAAGCTTTTAAGGTTGTTTATCTTTGCTATTAAAGAAGGATTGGAGAAGCGGGGACCTCTCTTTTAGTTTACACAGATCTGCATTGTTTGGATTGTTTTTAATAACAAGCAGCTATTTTCTTAGCGAATACTCTCTCTCATAAATGAGAAGTATATGTTTATATATATGTTTTTATATATGTTTATATATCATACATATATGTTTATATAAATATGTATAACTATCTATGTTTATATATATGTGTGTGTGTTTATACACATATACACACACACACAGAAAAAGGAGCAAATTCTAATTGTTCACTCAGGTGATTTTTCCAGCATCGCTGGGCCAGGTGCTTGGGAGCCAGCGGCTGGACAATGCCCCGGGGCTAGAGCAGTGGTGGACATGCTCCTTCCCACAGCCCTGGAGTCTGCAATTCATGTGCAGTGTGCTCTTCTCGGGGACACCCACCCCACTCGAGTGGTGGACATGCTCCTTCCCACAGCCCTGGGGTCTGCAATTCACATTCAGTGTGCTCCTCTCAGGGACACCCACCCCACTCAAGTGCCCAGAAGGACCAGAGCAAGCTCAGAAATACGGTGTCAGCTTTCACACTTTCGTCAATGGGTGTTTCCCATCTCCACCTCAGTGTTAGTGTGGACAGAGGCAAGAAATTACTCTAAAATAAGCCCTATCACGAATCTCTCCACATTGGAAATTCTTCTCTGTTCATTCCTGGGTGGAGCCCTGATGCAAGTGAGTTTCTTGTTGCTTCTGAAAGTTTATTTAAGAAACATTTTTCTTGGGAACCAGCAGTTAACGTAATGGCTATGTTGCTGGACTCCCACGTGGTCGACCGCAGTTTGCATCCCGGACCTGGTGGCTTAAAACTCACGCCAGGCGCGTGTGCATGCGTGCCCAAGATCCCGAGAGGAGAATGGAGGAGAAGGGATTGCGGCATGACCATCCCCCCTGGGGGGTGATTTCTCGCTTTCTGTCTCTCTGTCTCTCTATCTGTCTGGCGAGCACACGTGCCCTATAGCAAAAAACCTCTCAAAAACAAAAACAACAACAACGACAAAAAAAAAAGAAACATTTTTCTGTTTGATTTTGTTTTCTGTTTTGTTTTTTGTTTTTTATTCATTGCCAGAGAGTGGGTGTGCTCACCTAAAAAAAAAAAAAGAGAGAGAGAGAGGGAGAGAAGTAGAAACCACCTCCCAATAGGGTGTGGTCAGAAGACAATCTCTTCTCCATTTTTCCATCCTGTGGGGATTTGGGACACGCATGTGCATATACCCAGTATGTTTTCAACCCACTGGGGCTGGGATTCAAATCGTGTCCAGCCATGTGGGATTTAGCTTTCTTAGCCACTACGTGGCAGGGCCAGCTCTAACAGTTTTAGTTTGGATGAAACAAGGAAAATAAAAGAAAAATGTTGGACATAACATTTTTACATTTAGGCAGATAAAATTTTCATCTAAATTAGACATAAAACATCACGTTCAAGTAGATGTTGTTTACATTAACTTAAGTATTCTTTAAAAGCATATTTATTTCTTCCATAAGTAAGAGAGAAAGAAACACAGAGAGAGACAGCTTCCCCAGTGGGGTCTTGACACTGTAATCCAACCCAGCTTCATCCAGCCTCGAATCATGGGCGTACGTGCCCGATACTCAGGGCCGTCTCCAGCCGTGAACCTGCAGCCTTCCTGCTTGGGTCAGCCTTGCAGAGAGTCACAGTTTACCACTGTGCCACCGATGGACCCTCAAGTCTCAAACGTCTGACATCTGTGCAGTACTACACTGTCCTTCATCACACAGCAGCTAGGATAGTGCCGTGCATGCAATGGAAAGGACACATTCATTGGTGGAATTAATAAGCAAGAGAGGGGCCAACGGGTGGTGCAGTGGTTAAGGCATTGGACTTCCACACAGCCAACCACAGTTCGCATCCCTGACCTGGCTTGAAAATGACACCAGGCATGTGTGCATGCTTGCCCAAAATCCCAGGAGGAAAATGGAGGAGAAGGGATTGCCACATGGCCATTCCCCCTGGGGAATGATTTCTTATTTCCCTCTCACCGTCTCTCTGGCGAGTGCATGCACCCTATGGAAAAAACCTTTAAAAGGAGAGAGAGAAAGAGATGAAGAATGAACACAGACTTTAGAAGTTTACAAGACTCCAACAATGACACCACAAAACATGCTCGTTTGGGCTTACATGTGATCAGCTTACAGGCTGATGGGAGGGTCACACAAAGGGAGGCCTCAATACCTTAAAGCAGTTGTATTTCCATGGCAGGAAAGCACTTATTTATTAATTTTTTTTTTTTGTATAAGATCTTTTTTGTTTGTTTGTTTGTTTGCTTGGAGAGGTGTTTTTTGTTTGTTTGTTTGTTTTTTTTTGCTTTGTTTTGTTTTTTGCTGTAGGGTGTGTGCGCTCTCCAGAAAGAAAGAGAGACAGAGAGACAGAAAGCGAGAAATCATCCCCAGGAGGGATGGCCACACCGTAATCCCTTCTCCTCCATTCTCCTCTCGGGATCTTGGGCACGCACACACACGTGCCCGGCATGAGTTTTAGCCACCGGGTCTGGGACTCAAACCATGGTCAACTACATTGGAGTCCAGAGACATAGCCATTATGCTAACTGCTGGTCCCAGGAAAGCACTTATTAAGGCATTGGGTTGCCTTTTCATTAGAAGTTAAGGGGAGCAGGAGAGTATGAACTCTGGCTCAAGTGACCAGCAAAGCTGAGTTCAAAGCTGAATTCAGTCCCTTCGCTGCTTTGGCACTCTAGACAAGTGACGTCACATCTCCAGACCTGGATCTCGTCTGAAAACAATGGTACCTAATGATACAGGTAGCTGCCTCCCAACACCACAGCAGTGAAATGACATGATTCGCACCAGAAGTCACCCCAATATCTGGCATGTTGTCAGTCTTCGATGAAAGTTGCCTTACTCTTTTTCTTATCTTAGAGCCCAGTGAGAAAAACTGGAGCCAAACGATGATCAGAAAACATCTCAAAATATGGTCCTTTCCCCAACTTTTTAGAGCAGCACCTAGGAACTATTTTTGAGATAAAACACATTCTTCTTCAGACAGCCTTACAGGGACAGAGTCTGTCTGAAAGTTGCAGGAAAGAGTCTGTCTGAAAGTTGCAGTGTCCCAAGTTGGTGGTGAGTTACACCGGGTGAATTACTCTCTCGAGGCACTCTCGAGGCTATGTAAGGCACCTCCTCTCCCCCAGGGTACCAGGCTGTCATTTAGTGCCAGAGAAAAAACTATTTACAGAATGACATCGTGGCATTCCCGAAGGGTTTCATTTCCCTCCCTGCAAGGTGGTATATTTCAAGGCACTGCAGGACCAACCATATCAATAACTCAGGTGACTTAATTGGCTTTTCGCTCCTCTTTCGAAGGCCATGTCGATCCCACAGTAATTGATTCTGTGTGCTCTGGGCTTATTTACAGTGCCAAGGAACCACAATGAATCCGTATTAGACGTCGGCGGGAGGATGTTCGAGAAGGCTGCGAAGAGACTGTCCAGCGCTGACGGTCTTCACCAAATTAGCTCTGTCATTCCCTTGCTGATGGACTCCAGCTGCTGTGGGTACCATAAAGCATCCTACTACCTTGCAGTCTTTTATGAAACCGGATTAAACGTACCTCGGGATCAGCTGCAGGTAGAGTACTCTGTGGGTCCCAGGCACATCGGTCACCTACGTTGTATTTGCAGAGCAATGCTCTCGGGTCCCCGGTGAAACAGGACAAGGTGCAGCTCTGTGGAGCCTTTGAACATCTTTCTACCCAAGAGAAATGTCCTGAGGCTGAGTTTGCTACAGGAGACTCGGCTTTTAGTGAGTGACAGAGGGTTCTGTGCTTATTTCTGGCCATTGCCTTGGGATGCATCGCCGCCCAAGCTCGGGAACAGTTGGGTAGGGTTCATCAGAACCTCCATCCTTCAAGGCCAGCTGCCTCTTACCTGGTTCTTGTACTGCTCTGGGCTGGGACTGTTACTCCTGTTACTTTTCAGCTGAGTGAAGTCATGGGCCTCTAAGCAAAGCTTCATTACATCCAGCAGCCTGCCACCAAGATAAACCTCATTCCAGAGACTGGATTGTCGGGAAATCATGATGTGTATTTGTATAGAAAAACAGAAAAATACGGCATGACTTTCCAGACAGCCTAGCAGTTTCATTTTTGGTTTTGAATCCAAATTTTATTATACCACTTACTTAGCATTTAGAATTTTCCTAAGGGTCTTAGGGTTCTCCAGAGAAACAAAGCCAATGGGATTAATATACAGGAAGAGATTTGTTCTGGAAAATTGGCTCACAGAATTATAGAGACCGAGACATCTACAGTCTCCAGGCTGGAGGCCAAGAAGCCAGTGGTCCATTCCAGTCTCAGTGTGAAGGCTGGAGAACCAGGGGCTGATGGGTAAATGCCGACTAAGGCAGGAAAGACCCATGCCCAGCTCAAGCAGGCTGGCAGGAAGAAAGGGGATGAGTTCTTCCTCCTGTGCCTTTTGTCAGGCCCTGAAGGGAGGGCATGGTGCCCACCCACGCTGGGAGAGCAGTCTGCTTTACTCACTTCCCCAGTAAATGTTAATCTTGGTCCAGCCAGTGGCAGGCTTGTTAAGGCTCTGGATCCTACATGGCCAACTACACGGTTGGAGTCCTGGACCTGGTAGGTTGATAAACATGCCAGGCGTGTATGTTTGTATGCCCACAATCCTAAAAGGAGGGAGAAGGGATTACAACATGACCATGCCCAATGGTGAGGGGTGGAGTAGAGGTGCCCTTCCCCACTTCCCTCTCTCTCTCTCACTCTGGTGACGACATACCTCCTTGGGGAAAAAAAAAAAAAAATATATATATATAAATATAAAGCTAATCTCATTTAGAAACACCCTCACAGACGTCCCTAGAAATAATGTTTAATCTGGGCACCCCAGGGCACAGTCAGGCTGTCGCAGTCAGTACTATCGAATGTCCCTGGCCACTTGGATTTTCAGATTTGCACCTAGGGTGATTTCTCCCTGGTTCGATGAGACTCGGGCTATTTAGACCTGCCCAGTGTTCCAGGTTCCTTTTCGGTGGCTCGTTCATGATGTCTGTGCTGTGGACGTGTCTCACTGATGGGATGATTGCAAGTCTCTGAAGCAAAGATGGACAGTGTAGAGAACCCTACTTCTTTCTCCACCACAAAGCGCCTGGTTGACCATGGACAGATGACATCCCCTTTCTGGGCCTGTTTCCTCAGACGCGAAATGAGGCAGTTGGACCAGTTGATCTCTGAAAAACCTTTCGGCACTAACCTTCTGAGAGTGTGAGGTTGGGGACAGCTGAAGAGAATAGGGATCCTTAGGTCGGATGGCCATGAGATATGTCAGGAAAGGTCCCTGCTATCACCGAGAAAAGGCAAAAGTCAGGGCAGGTTAAGCTGTTAGTAGGCAGGACAAATAGCTAGGAATCTGTAACCCGTGAGAAAGCTGAGTTGGCTTTTTAAAAAAGATTTATTTTATTTAAAAAAAAAAAAAAAAAGACAAGTTAATGCTTTTCTGGAATGCTAGGATGCTGGGGAGGGACTGGGCTAGACGCCGTTTCAGTGCTAGGGTTTTCTGAGTGTCTAACACCTCCTGGACACTTTGCCCATTTCTTCCTTACAGGGCATGCTGTATAGTTTGGTTGGTGGCCAGGGCAGTGAGAGGCTGTCTGCGATGAATCTCGGGTACAAACACTACCAGGGGATTGACAGCTACCCCCTGGACTGGGAGCTCTCGTATGCCTACTACAGCAACATTGCCACGAAGACGCCCCTGGACCAGCACACGCTCCAAGGAGATCAGGTACTGGAGTGAGAAGTGGTTACGGCCTTGTTTTCCAGGGCTCCCATGAGAGATGGCGTGACAGGTCCCTGCTATCCCCGAGAAAAGGCGAAAGTCAGGGCAGGTTAAGCTGTTAGTAGGCAGGACAAATAGCTAGGAATCTGTAACCTGTGAGAAAGCTGAGTTGGCTTTTTAAAAAATTTATTTTATTTAAAAAAAAAAAAAAAAAAGACAAGTTAATGCTTTTCTGGAATGCTAGGATGCTGGGGAGGGACTGGGCTAGACGCCGTTTCAGTGCTAGGGTTTTCTGAGTGTCTAACACCTCCTGGACACTTTGCCCATTTCTTCCTTACAGGGCATGCTGTATAGTTTGGTTGGTGGCCAGGGCAGTGAGAGGCTGTCTGCGATGAATCTCGGGTACAAACACTACCAGGGGATTGACAGCTACCCCCTGGACTGGGAGCTCTCGTATGCCTACTACAGCAACATTGCCACGAAGACGCCCCTGGACCAGCACACGCTCCAAGGAGATCAGGTACTGGAGTGAGAAGTGGTTACGGCCTTGTTTTCCAGGGCTCCCTGAGAAATCTCAGGTGTCTGCGCCTGAGGCTGGTTGGCTCACTGGCCTTCAGAAGAAAAGCCTCACTGAATGGAGAGAAAGTTTTCTTCTACCCTCCAATCCTGCGTTCTGACGATGCTGTAGGCTGAAGACAGGTGGTCCTATGCCGACGCATGGAAAGCTTTTCATGAGTGGAGGACCGGTGTGCAAAGGTAGATGTGGTCCAAGATAGATTTTGATTTTGCAAAAAATATACACCACAAACATAAGCATCTTGTCTTCGTTTCAAGACCATGCGAGGTGCCGTGACCCTGAGATGGGAGGGTAGATTGAATGCAATCGAGTGGGGACCGTAGGCTCTGAGGGCTCCCATTAGTATTAACCAATGAGCAGAGTCTATCATACACAGAAGCAGGTGCCATACCCAGCTATGCTCTCACTGCTGGGCCCTTGGGAAATGTTTCCCTCTCGTTGATGAATAGGCCTTGCTAGCCTTGGACTCCAGGTAACTGACAACCGCGTGTGATGTTCGAAGACGCTGCTGGCCTGTCCTGGATTAATGACAGGGTGAGGGGCTCCAACTCCAGCCCCCACTTTTGTAGACTCTCAAATCTTATCAGTTCACTGGGTAAAGATCATGGGCTTACATTTGCCAAAATAAAAAAATAGTGTGTGTGCCAGCAGGTGACCTGGAGGTTAAGAGACTGGATCCCCTGTGGATGACTGCTTGGGTTGAGTCCTGGACCCCATGGCTTGGAAATCACTCCGGGCACATGTGCATGCCCAAGGATAATGGAGGTGCTGGGGTTGTGGTGTGGCCATCCTGCTAGTGGGTGATGATTTCTCACTTTCTCTCTCTCCAGGGAGCACACATGCCCTATAGCAAAATTATTAAAACAAACAAACAAAAGTAAGGTGTTACATTAGACCCACAAATGGTTTGTTTTCTTTCCAAGACAAGTTGTAACAGGGTCTAAGGAAGAGGTGGTAGTGTAAGAATGAAAGGAAAAGCCCCTAGGCGATACACTCCTGCATTGAGAGGGAGCAGGCGATGAAGGATGAAGACGTGGGCTTCTGGAGTGTACTTTTAAGTCTGTATTGTCATGGCCCCAGCACTTGAGGAGGTGGAATTGAGAGGTAGAGTCTCTGTTGCAATCACATGACGCTGACACAGATAAAATGCAAACCAATGGGAGGGCAGGGTTCCTGCGGCCACAGACTACGTACCTACGTGGCTGGCCTCGGTGCTGGTCTAGGCTGTAAACTTTTGATTTTCCCTTCCTGATGAGCAGTCTGAGGGACCAGGCTGGCTAGACCAGGTTGTTGAATCCGAGGCTGAGCAGTTCACTGCGAGCCAGTCCGCCGTTTTCCAGCTTTGCTCTTGGGTTGTGCTCAGAAACCCACAGTGAGGAGAATGCAGGCTTTGATTTTTGGGAACGGATGGTTTCTGGAAAAGGAATCTATGGCGGCTGCTGTACCGTTATGAAATAAATGACTCAAAGTCATATGCTGTCAGTGAGCGTTAAACATGAGCCAAGCTGTTCAACACCAGAAGGGCTGTCTATATAGACATTCTAGTTCCTGGAGACATAGTGATGCCTTCTCAATAGATGTACATACCCTTTCCTGCATGCGTGTCTTCCTTCTGCGTGTATTAACTACGTACAAAATCCGACAGCACTTAATTTATAATGGATAAAGCTTTGTTTTTTACTTTCTAAACACGGAGTTCTTTGGAAAACACATTTGTACAAAACCAAGCCACAAAAAAATACAGCCAGATTAAAAACAAAATACTGCTGTCACCTCTCTACGAAGGCCAGAATGTATGAATAATGTCCTATATGTATATATTATATTTTTAAGAATTCTAATTCGGCATACATTAGCAACAGGAAATGGTGTGCTACTAACAAGCTTCTTTTCTTTTGAAGATCTGGCATGTGAGATGTTATGATTATGAAAGGAAATGTTTAATTGGTCAGAACCAGAGGAGATGAGGAGGGAAGATCCGTGTTGCAGCTGAAAAGTCGTGTGATTAAGAATCACAGATAGGAATTATGCAGTTAGAAGAGTGGTGGCATAGCTCATTTTCTCGAGAATGTGTAATGAATGGCTTGTTGAGATGTGAGCAGGTGTCACGCGTCGATTTAAATGTCCTTTTGTTGTGAAATCTATTAATGCGCCAGCGTAATGTAGCAAATGAGGAGATAAGAAGACCCAGGCCCCTAATTAGCAAACGCAGGACTCATCCATAATGCCGTTCTTGGTCCTTGTTTTGTTTTCTCTTTTATGTAACTGCGGTTCACAAATCATTTCATTTTTTTTTATTAAGACTCTCTTGATGTCACTTCTTCAGGATTTAGTAGGACTCTGCTTCTGGTTAAAACCAAAAAGGCAATGGCCACTGTTTCTGTTTGGTTTTGTGTCTTAATCCCGAAGAGCCCTCTCTTTCTGCCCCCCCGCCCCCGAGTCGCTCTCCCCACCCTCTGTTCTCGCTCTACACCTTCCGGGAGTCACCGAGTGACTGCGCACTCAAACCTTTCTGCCTGGCTGAGGTGTCTCTTACAAATCCTTGTCTGCAATCATGACATACTGAAAGAGAAAAGACACCTTGCCTCCTCTCCATTCCCTGCAATGCCGCAGCTGGTGGTTCTCATCCCTTCTGGAACCTTCTCTCACCATCCTCACAGCCCCCAGCAGCTTCCAGTGCCCATTGTCTCTCCTTCCCATCTCTGTCTCCACTGCCAGCCACCTGCATTTGTCCCTCATCATCCCTCCCTGAGCCACTGCAATGGCCTTCTCTTGGGGCTGACCCATGTCCCCTCTAATTTCATAGGTTGAGATCCCAGTGTCCACCACCGCACTTAGAGAGAAAGCCTTTAAGTGGGTGATTAAGTTGAAACAAGGCTGTTAGGTGGGACAAAGCCCGTAGGACTGGTGTGTTTGTAAGAAGGGGAGATTAAGACACAGACAACACAGAGGGACAACTGTGTGAGGACAGAGAGAAAGCGGCCGTCTGTAAGCCAGGGAGAGAGACCTCACAAGCCAAACCTGACCACATCTTGAACTGGAGCTATGAGAAAACACATGCATTGTTCAAGCCACCCAATCATGGCAGCCGTTGCAGACTGACATGCCCCCTCCTGGTGCTTTGTCACTTGTTCTGTCCCTTCCTGTTCTCTTCTCCCTGGGACCAGGCGGGTTGTCCACAGGGCTTATGGGACAGTCCTGCAGAGGCTCCCACGTGGGGTCTGAGGGGTGTGATGGTTAAGAAGGACTGACCCAGCCCAGCTGCTCATGCGGCATGGGAGGCATTCATTCGCCTGGCTTTTCTCTACTGTTCTCTACTGCCCACGATCAACTCTTCCTGTTTATTAATGTACTCCTTCCATGAGAGAGAGACAGAGATAAGCACTCCTGTCATGGCCTGCACCATCATCCATTCCCAGTCTTTCTGCCTGGGCCTCTGGCACACACGTGTGAGCCCAGCACGCACAGGGAGCTTGCAGTCTGCATACCCAGCACCTTCTCATGTGGGTCCTATTGCGTTACTGCTGCCAGCACCTGGTCCCCAACCCCAACTCTGAATGGTTCCTGCTTAGTCCGCCCACTCCAGCCACACCGGGAATCCCTGATGAACACACATGCCCAAACAAACAAAAACAGAACCGAACTCCCAGAAATAGAGGAAGCCCTGGAACTGGTCAGGGGCCAGGACTGGTGGTTCCTACCAGGCCCCCCCCCCCCCCCCCCCCCACAACCCCCCCCCCCCCCCCCAGCCCCACCCCTCCAGCCTCTCAAGACACAGCTTCTTGGCCTGGTCATAACATGTTTTAATGAGCCACCAAGACTGTCCCTTTTATGTTTGTGCATTTATTTCATGCATGTGAGAGACAGACAGACAGACATTGCTAGGCACACTCTACCAGGTCGCACACCGCGATTCCCTGCCTCCAGCTAGCCAGGATCACTGGCACGTGCACACACACCTGGTGTACGGGTCAGCTCGGGAGTCGAGCTCTGATCTTACACGTGGTCT